GGGGGGAAGGAAGGGAGGGAGGGAGGGAAGAAGAAAGAAGGAAGCAAGGAGGGAGGGGGGAGAACTTGTTTCTGCATAGATGTGCCCGCAGGGAAACACACCCAGGAGCTCTTCTATCCCCAAGAAACACATTCCAGGACAAAAGCCATTTTGGTGTCCTGGCCAACACTGGCCTTTGAAGGGCTGGTCGTTCCACTTCTGGTTCCCAACCTCAGAGCAACCAATTTTCCAAATCAAAGGCCAAAAGGGAGATTTCCTCTCCTATAAACTTGGTCTCAAGGTTTGGAGCAAGGTTTAAAAACAGAAGTCCTAGCTGCTCACAGACTGGATGTGCTGGTCACAGTAGGGCTCCTGGCTCCAAGATGTCCTTCAGTCACCACCTCAGGCCCAAGAGAGGGTCTGAAGATGGTGTTGGATAACGCGCTTACTGCTTACTCAGGCCTTCTCAGCCCGCCTCCTGGGAGCAGTATAGTGTCAGGGGCTGGGCGGCATTCAGACCCCCATTCCACAGTGGAGGAATTAGGAGATTTAAAAGTCACTGGCCGGCAAGGCCTGAGTGGGGTTGGAACCTGGGCTTCACGTACTGCTACTGTGATAATCAGTAGTACTGATGAGAGCTATCGTCTAGTTAGTGCTTACCACACAATGCGAGCTCCGCTGAAGGTCCTAAGAGGATTTTTTTCTCACACATTCGGATATCATTATTCATGACCATTTACACAATAAACCCCAGAGAACTGCAGATAATACCTAACTCCATACATTCTATGTTTTTTTTCCTATACATACATACTCATGATAAAATGTAAATTATGTCAGGCACAGTACACAGAAATTAACAAGGCAACAATAAGAACATAGAACAGTAACAACATACTATAATAAAATTTATGAATTGCTTATTTCTGGAATTTTCCATGTAATATCTTTGAGCCATGGTTAACTGTGAGTAACTAAAGCCATGGAAAGGGAAACTTCAGAGAAAATGGGACAATTGTATTTAGGGTGAGGTTAGACTGAAGTTTAAAAGAAAGTTAATGTGAACAAAAAGGTAAGCATCCAAAACCCAGGTGGGACCAGGTTACTGCCCAGCCCTTTCCCAGTCTGGGAGCTGCTGGTGCAGCTGGTGCGGTTCAACTTCCTCCAGGTACCTCGGCGGTCAAGAAGCTGAATGTCAAGGACAAAAGTCTGACTTCAAAATAAGAAAGATGAAGTCTGGCAACATGGATGCCAGCTACGCACCTCGAAGGACCAAGAGACCCACGGCCACCCACGGCCAGCACCCCGAGGGGGTGGGCCCCGGCGAGGCCCCTCTCCCATGCCTGCCCCAGGGCGCCTGTACTCACGGCCAGGACGGCACGGTCCCGCTCCATGAGGTCAGCCAGCTGGTGCAGCAGCCGGCCACGGCTCAGAGCGTCCAGCCGGCGCCATGGGGAGCCCCTCTGGAAGGCGGCTTGTGCAGCCTCCACGGCCTTGTCCACGTCGGGCTGAGAAAGAGAGAGAGGGGTGGGGAGTCATCACTAGTCAATGAGACTGCAGTTTGGGACCCCTTAGCTATGGGGACAGCAGCGCCATCCCTGTCTTGCAAGTGGCAGACTAGCTGGAAGTTGTCCAGTCACCTAATTGGCTGGGGGCTTTCAAGTGATGTTCTCTTTATATATTAAGTCTTTTTCCAGTTTCCGTAATGGCCAAGAGTCAGCCTCCTGATTATAAGAGCATTTCAAAATGTAGTCACCGACCTTGTGTATTTTTCGTGGTAACCCGAGGGATGGGAAGATTTCCTCGTGCTGGCTAGTTTGAGCTCCGACTAGGTGGGAAGAGTCTGCCTGGGCGTTGCCATTCCCACTGAGGGTGGCAGTCTGGGAGTGAGAGTGTGGGACTACAGACCGCAGAACCGAGCAGGCTGGGAAGGGCCACGGTGGCCGGGAGGCCGTTGCTCTGCCTTCAGCCTTACATGCCCCGAGGGGTCAGGACTGCTGCAGCATTTTTATACACAAGAGTACAATAATGATAACAAAACCCTTTCTGTGTTTTTATTTTTTGTGGTGCTAGGGATGGAACAAGGGCCTTGGGAGAGCTGCACTCCAGCCCTGAGCTTTCTTCTTAGAGTGAGATCTGTTCGGAGAGGCATCACTTATCGCTGTTGTCACAAAAATAAACTTCCCGGGTCTGTTTGTGTTGGACAACGGCTCATCCCCAAGGCCAGCTCCCGCCAGAGACAGGTAGGGACTCCACCAGAACTCTGTCTCTAAGCTTGTGGGTGGGAGGCACGCAAGCTTTGGCCAAAGAAATGCAGGGACACTGGATTCCCTGTCTGGGGCTCTGGGGTGGAGGCCAGAACTTCACCAGCTGCAGGGGACAGGGTGGCTTCTGACTCCAGGTGCTTGGAGCAGTTAGCCAAACAAGTGAAAAAACAAGGCCCAGGAGGGTCTGGGCTTCCGCCCGCCACTGCATGGGGCCTCTCCCTCCTACCCCTCCCTGCCAGGCCCTAGCAGCTTCCTGTCTGCTCCTCTCTGCTGCGTTCTTGGTCAGTAGAGCTCAGCATGAGGAGCCAGGTGGAGGAAGATCTAGGAAGGTGTGCTGCTGGCTACTGCACACGAATCCCAAAACTGCCACGGCTGGGAGGAAAGCTTTACCCACACATACTGCACCCCACGCATTCTGACATCACCAGTGTACAGATGAAGCATTACCCACACAGCACCTGTGGCCCCTGCACCCCACTGCTCAGGAGGCTGGAGGTTTGCTCGTGTCCAACGCTCCGGGCCAGCCTTGGCAACACAAACATTCTGCGTCTCAGGTAAATACATCTGTCCTGTGCTCAAAAGAAGCAATCACTCACATTTCTTTCTATAGAAGACCTTAACCTTGCCTCGACGGCCCTCCCATTCAGAATTTACTTCATGGCCTTGAAATATACCAAGGATGCATCCAGAAGTCCCTCAGCTTCTCTAAATGATACCGGCCCTGCATGCGCCCAGGGGGCTGTACAGACTACAGCTTTCCACAGTCGCCTACGTGTCCAGTAAAAAGGAAATCTTCCAGGTTTGGGACGTTACTGCCATCCCTCATGTCACCTGGGAGCACGTCTTTCTTCCTTCAGGTTTTTGAAAAAGTGTCTTCTTGCCAGAAAGCTGCCTTTGGTGAAACACACCAGCCGGAAATGCTTTCTGGAGAGATTCTTTAATGCCTCCAGGTTCAAATAATTGATACAAAAAAGCTTTCCTTTCGCTAGGTGACGCAGACTGCTGAGGTCATCCTCCGGGATGGGGAACATCTATCAAAGGCGACGACTCTCTGCAGAAGACCATCTGTAATTGATCCCATGCTGGGCCTTGCGTCTGAGCTGCATATGGCGGCGACTGGCTGGCGCGGCTCCCCAGGCCCTGCGAGGGTGGGCCCGACCTATCTCATAGCTAAGCGGCGCTGCTTCCTTATCCTTCACTTATCTATAATTGAATTACCTGTGTGTGGGGGCACCCACCTTATCTCCTTCTTCCACTTCACATATTTTCTCCAGCGTTGACGGGTTATATGTGGCGAACTTCTTTCCACTCTTGGATTCATGCCAGTCATTGTTGATAAATATCTAACCGGGAAAGGAAGTGTAACGAATTAGGTTTAAATCAAAATCATATCATTTCAACATGCTAAGGACCTTAGGTAACGTCTTGTCCGCAGGCTTCCTCACCGCTCTCTCCTCCCCTGGGATGTTTCACAGATGAGACTGGAGGCAGACGGGACTCTCAGAGTCACCTGACTGAGTGACCAGCTGGGAACAGATTGTGAGGACCCAAGTTGTTGTAATAAACCCAAAGTCATTTAAAACTTTTTTCTAAATAATAATATTATTTATTATTAGCAACATATGGACGATCATTGTATCATTTTATACGTAATAAAAGCCAGAGTTGGAATACAAAGCTAAATATTTGGGTTAGAAAAGTTTCCAAATTATATTAAATGATAGAGCAAATCACCACTGAGATCCAGAACCCAAGAAGTAAGCCACAAAAATCGCTTCCCTGGGTGCCTCAAGCATCCAGAATTGCAGCTGGGAATAAGAAAGTTTAAAAACAGGAGATATCCTGAACAAACCAAGAACGATTCATGAAGTCCTGTGCCACAATGTATGTACTCTTTACTGCAAGTCTGCTCTGAGTCCTAACGGCCTGAAAAGGATGACATTAAAAGAGAGGGATTTGGGGGAAGAAAAGAGGAACACCAGTCATGGGTAGGTAAAACATGAAGCCTGTTCTGGTAGCACAGAGGTCCTGGCTGCCCGAGAGGGGACAGAAAGCTGCTACTGCACCTGTGGGGGCCTCCTCACTTCAGCCCCTCCCAGCTCAGGAAAACCCCTCATTATAGAAGTGCGTGAAGCACTCTGTCCAGGGAAACACCAGCCATCATTTCTAAGGACAGACCCACCTCATCCAGTTCCACTTCTATATCTAGATACATATCAGGCACACAGTTTTGATTCACCTTCTTTTTGAACTGTTTGGAAGGTGACTTGTGCCACCACGGGGCTAAGTTCAATGATTTCAAAATCAATTCATCCAGAACACTCCCGGATGAAGACAGGCAGACCAGAGGGGGCCCATCGGCTCCCGTTTGCGGCTTGCTTATGAGCTTCCCAGCTCCACAGTACACTGGGAGGGAAGCCGAGGCTGCCCCTCATGGGACCACGCATGGAGCACAGGCTCCGGCTGGGCAGGTGGCTCCCGCGGGACAAGCCTGTCTGACTTCTGGAAGATCAGCGCCTTCCCTGTGAGGCCAGGCCCCCAGGGAAGTCTACTAGGAAAAGGCCAGGCTACAATTACAGGTCTATTCTTCCAGCTGAAACCAAATCCAAGAGTTCACTTTTGCCATGCAGTATTTCCTCAGTAACAGGGAGAAATTAATAAGTGGAGAAGAGGAGTTAGGTTAGTGTGGAGAAGGACAGCCAGGAAGAGAGGCCCATTTGAAGGAAGATGAAATTTCGTGGTTTAGATAATAGAGCCTGTCAGGGAAAATTGCTGATTCTAGGTCCTTCCTGGTATCAATTCCAAAGGGGAGGGAAAAATGAGAAGGTGGCAAAACAGAATATAAATGGGAGGGGTGGAAACAGATTGCAATGATCAGATGTCTGCTGTACTTCATCTCCAAGTGTGCACCTCCAAAAAAAAAAATTACTTGGTTGTTCATGACACTGATCCGTAGTCCTTGCTAACCAGCGACTTAGAAAAATATTGAAACTGCTTGACTCTAACCACATTTCTTCATCACGTTTCTAATTTACCAAAGTTATTTTCTTTATATTACACTAGTAAGTGATCTTGTAAGTGGTTTCTACTGTTGATTTTCTTTTCACTAAAACAAAACAAAAACACAAATAAGGAGAGAGTCCAATGAGCATGGCCCACCAATGGTGTTGGCTGTACTGTTTTGAACCTCAAAGCAAGACAAAGGGTCTAGAAAGAAATCATTCCCTTTAGATTTTGAATTAGTATCAAAGGAACTTTGTAGAGGTATAAAGTGAAGCTACACTGAGCTGCAGACACAATCCAAGTTTTACTCAAGGGTCACGATTGAGCCAGAAGGTGCTCTGGATAGAGGTGAAGACTGCAGTTGAAAAGTGAATCCTGCTGATGCCATTTCCAGCAACTCCCATCGGACATCAGGCCGCTCTGCTAAGCTCAAAAGGACAGTCTTTTCGGAAAATTTGGGGGAATTTTATTTTCACAAAAGAGATTATAAAGACTAGTGCTTTAGTGAACCAGAAAACCTTACAGAAGATCTCAGCTACTAGGAGAAACTTTGTAAAGAGGGATCTTAAAATGGTAGAGGCCACTTTCCTCTAAGAGCTGTGCGGCAAGGATCCCAGAGGGACAGTCCTCTTACCAGAACCACATCACCCGACCAGACGGTCAATATAAAACCTGAGAACAAATAGGGCGGCTTTGACAAAGTCACTGTTCTGGAAGTTGATCACTTAGGGAAATCACACAGCCAAAGCCTAGGATCAAACCAATCTCCCATGAGGGAGAAGCACCATGAGTCACTTCTGAAAAATAGTACTGCCCGCTCACACACTCCACCCGCAGGCTGAGCGCCCGGGGCCTTGACTCGGTGTCTCCGCTTCCTTCTTCTTTTTGGGCCACCCCTCTACAGCCAGAGGCTCCCTGACCACACGCTACAGAGCCCAGCATCAGCTCCTTACGGCCAGTGTACCTTCCCTGAGCGTCCATCACACATCTGTGCCACTCAACGGGCAGAGACGGGGACAAGAGTCCCACCAAGACTCGCTGTCCGGGAATCTTCTAAGTTCCATCTCCACAAGGGCTGCATTAACAAGTTTACAGGGCTTCAGGAATGGCTGAACTGCCAAACCGACCCTCTTCATTTTTGGCAGTTGGCTGTGAAAGGACTCAACCAGGTAGAAAGTAAACGGGCAGCCGTATCTTTACTTTCTGGTTTTCTCTGCTATTTTATAAAACTCTAAAAACAAAGGAAAGTTGCAACACTAAGAACGATAGCAACTGAATATCACAGCATTAGGGTCTGGGGGGAAAAACTGAAGGCCCTATTCTCACTGTTCCCAGAATTGGTGTTGGAATTTTCCCCTCGGAAGCTGATCCTATTAAGGAAACTACATTAAAAACAATTTCCAGACTTTACCCGTGACGTTCTGTTGATTACAGAGCCCTCTGGAAACAGTTAATTTAAATGTCAAGTAATTTAAGTGCCGGCACAGCCAACTTGGGGGATTAGATGCCAAAAGACCAAATTGTGACGGCCACACATAATGGTCTGCCACTTTCTCCGCTTGATTAAAATTATTTGAGAGAGATAATCGCTACTTTTGAAAGTAAAATTGACGAGAGAATTTTCTAAGCCCTCCATCAGCTGGAGTTGGAAGCTAAGGATAAGATGCAAAAGTAAAAGGCGTCAAAGTTGGAGAAGCGAGGCCAAGGCTGCCCTGGGCCTGTGTCCCCGACCCGTCTCCTGTCGGGCTCTGCTCCCCAGGCATCGCCATTCTCCCTTCGGCCCCCGGGCAGGTGGTCTCACCGCGGCCCGCATTCCAGTTTCCCAGGAAGCAGGACAAGCAGTCCTGCCGCTCCTCAGAAGCCCTACTGCCCGGGGGCGCTGGCCCGGACCGCGGCTTCCCCGCGTCCGGACCTGGAACATTTGGGGGACGCACAGCCGGTTTCAGTGGTGGGTGAGCTCCTTCCTCCTCCCTGACTCTGCTGCTAAGCGGGGTGCAGCCCAGCACAGAGGTGACAGATGCTTCTCTCAGTGGCCCGGCTTGCCGGGTGCAGCTCCCGAAGCAGCCTGCCCTCTGATGCTCCTTCTTGAGCCTCCCAACGCCCCACTTCTTCAGCCCTGCGAGCGGCCCGATCCGCGAGTCCCCGCAGCGCGCACCTCCG